TCGCGCGATTCAACGTTTAATGCATTAACGTATAGGGAAACTTTGACGGCTTTTTTCTAGGGGAAGGGTTGATTTCCGGTACATGATTCCTTTCAGACTTTTTATCCCCTCGATGAGCACTATACGATAAGCCAATAAAAAAATTTGACCTTGAAATTAGGGCTCAAGGTCAATTTTGCGGTCGCTTTCTTTGACAGATCTCCACCGATCCAGAGGTGTAAAATCAACCCCACGTGGGCCGTGACATTTAATTTTTTCACATCCTGTACAAATAAAATTTTCTTTACTGGATGCTCATTTGTTTTACTCGTGGCATCCCTTTGAAGTGCCGTAGCTCGACCGTCGTTGTTCGACGTATACCTATACCGTCTATCTCACTTCCTCTCATTATTACATCTATTCTCTTAAGGTGGGTACAGACATCCAACAGAATACAATAACGTGTCTCCGTCGCGCAACACACTGTGCAACATTTGTCGTTGCGCGACGATGTTACGTTGTGGACGTACACAGAACCTCGTGGCGTATGATCAGCGCGTAGCATTATGCCGTCCCATCAGTTTATGTTCGTCCTCCAAGCATAAATGGACATTGCGGCTGCAGCCTACATAGTTATGCATTATTTAGTGAAAAGGAAAAAACATAGATCAAGGCGTTGGTGGCAGACTCAATTATATACAAGTAGAAGTACATATGGCGGTCACCATTTACTGTTAGATCTAAGCTTTCAATCAGTGAGTGGCTTATATAAAAATTTTACAAGAATGTCGCCAACAGACTTTGAGTGGTTGATAAAGTTAATTGGTCCCAAAATAAAACGAAACGATACGCATTGGAGAAAGGCGATTTCTGTTCAAGAAAGGTTAGCAGTAACCATTCGTTTTCTGGCGACTGAGGATTCTTTCACTAGTCTGCAGTACCTTTTCAAAATATCTAAGCAATCGATAAACACCATTGTTCCAGAAGTGTGTGAAGCTCTCATAGAAGGATTAAAAGATAATATACAGGTATGGGAATTGGAACTTTATTTATTAAAACAAATATTTATAATATGTGAATAAAATGAGATTATGGTTTGGTATCTTGTTGTTCGTCCATATCCGGCTTGTCCAAAGACCCGGTGAATATCGATGAGGACTGTGAGGAAGCGCTGGCGCTGGCAGAAGTAGAATTGATAGAACGATGAAAACTTGATGGACTGTGAAGTGATAAATACTGGGTATTCTGCGACTGAGGGCCGTAAGTTAAATACTCAGTTATAGTTGAATAATTAGAAAGTGTTGGAGAAGTCAGTGGTAATTGGGAAGTGTGGGATTGCGATGAATAAGAACGTTGAGGTACTGGATTGTCCATAAGTCGGGTATCTTGCTGGGGTACAGAATAATGGAAACTGTAGGGAGCGATTGGGTTGGAATGATTCTGAAAGGCAAGAGAAGGACCTTCAGCTGAAGATTGATCATAGTACCCCCTGTCCGCCTTAAATAAAATACTCATGATTGCTTCTTGCACAGCAGTTTGCGCGACATTAGAATATTTGTAAAGTTTCTGAGCAACAAGATTCCCAAAAATTTCGCATTCGGTTACTTCCTTTGCCTTTGATGCATTTAATAGTATTTCAAAAGCTGCATCCAACTTTTGGTCAACTGCACACTTTCTTTTTCGGGTTGCACACCGTTGTATCGGAGGTGCAACAAGCGCTTGGTTATTAATACTGTTGCGCCGGGGAGTGGAGCTAGCACTTTCCATCGTAAAATAAATAGAGACGAAGCAAACTAGACTGTCTATATTTCGATTACAAAGGAGTTCTTAAGCAATAGATCCGTACAGGTCGGGTTCCCGAAACATTCTGATTATCAAAAGCCGCGCGGTTGTCTAAGAGACCTCAAGCATCCGATGACGTGTTTCCGCTCGAAACATGGAATAGCTTCACATCATGATTCGTTGACAGCTTCGGACGGGGCAGTCGATGGCTCTTTCGATACATCAAGAAGCAGTCGATGCATCGAAAGAGCGGAAACTTCTCACCGTCGCAACAATACTATCGGCAGGCAGCAGAGTCCTCACAGCCTCGTCATCTTCCTGACTGGCGTTTATTGCATCTAGGTTATCGATAGTGTCATTGTTTACATCACTGCATTCGTCCGATTCCTTTTCAATCTGAAATGAAATTAGAAACACGCAATTTTTGCAGATACCAAACACATCAGAAGCATGGTTAGAAGTGGTGAAAGTGTATAACAATAGATGGAACTTTCAACATTGCCCCGGAGTATTAGACGGCAAACACGTCGTTTTGCGAGCACCTATTAGTTCGGGAAACGAGTTTTTTAATTATACATCGACATTTAGCATCGTTCTTTCTGCATTAGTGGATGCAGATTACAACTTTTTGTATGTCGATGCTGGAGGTCAGGGGAGAATTTCAGATGGTGGAATATTTAAAAATTGTTCCCTGTATAAGAAACTGCAGAACAATGAGTTGAATTTGCCGCAAGCAGAATCTTTGGATGGTAGACACCACGAAGTTCCTTATTTCTTCATTGGAGATGAGGCATTTGGTCTAACTAGCACATTAATGAAACCGTTTTCGGGTATACATCGTAAACGATCATTTCAGAGGATTTTTAATTACCGACTATCACGCGCACGAAGAGTTGTGGAGAATGTCTTTGGTATTGCCTCAGCAATATTTCAGGTACTCCGTAAACCTCTATTGTTGGAACCCGAAAAAGTTACGCTTATTGTACTGACAGTAGCCCATTTGCATAATTTTTTACGAAAAAGCTCGAATTCTTGCCCACTGTACACGCCACATGAAATATTTGATACAGAACGAGAGGGACAATTTGTACCAGGAACGTATAAAAGTATAGCTAGTGAGCCTATGTATTCTGTACTTTCTCTAATAAGCAGGATTCCCAGAAGACCATCTACAGATGCTACACAAATTCGAGTGGAATTGGCGGATTTCTTTCAAAATGAAGGCAGCATTTTGTGGCAAGACAATTATTCATGAACAATGTAATGACATATACCTTGCAATATATATACATATATATGCTTATTGTACTGCGTGTATCACGAACTTTGTTTTTGTCCCAGAGAAACAGTAAACTCTTGAAAGCAAACCAACTACTTTCGTACACATCCGAACGCCCTACAATAAAAAAATACTGCTTAACTTATTATACCACTTAATTTTCTGATACAATTCTTCATTCTGTTTATTATGTTTTTCTGAACTATGAAATAACCAACTCTATATATTTATTATCCGACTTCGAAAAGGAGGAGGATACTCAATTCGATGTGTATGTATTTTTTTTTTTTCTTTTTATGTATGTTCACCGATTACGCCGAGACGGATGGACCAATCGGAACGAAACCTTTCGCATCTGGTAGAGTATGTCTCCCGATTGATCTCGCAAAAAAATGTTTGTATTTTTTCATTTCTAACGACTTATATCGCAAAAAACGTAATACTTCATTTATATCTTCTGGCGTTTATGCTGCAAGGAATGTATAGTTCGCAATGAAACCTTTCATATTTAGTAGGATATACAGGGTGTCAGGCGACTACCTCGACAGCCGAAGAAGGATGATTGCTAAGGGGATTCTAAACAACTTTTTCCTTTGCCAAATTGTTGGTTAAGGCTCGGTTTTCAAGTTAATAACACAAACCACCGACCAATACGAGCGCGTATAGAGCGCAGTCCCAGGGACTGCAGTGTCGGGTGCGGAAACCTGACCTGACGTAGGTCGCGAACGAACGGCCTGGCACCCCGTTGGCATAGCACAATAAACAACTGAACTGGTAGAACATTTTTAGTCGCTGTTTAGAATGAATACGGAACCTAATCTCTTATCGCCTGTCATAATGTAAAAAAGAAATTCTAAGGATTCTAAATAACAAATAAAAATGTTTGAAGTGGTATAATTAATAAACGTTTGAATTGGAGGCTACGCTAATGATGCAAAATTTGAAAACAATTTAAATGAAACTTACCCATTCGTTTCTAAATTAACTTGCTACGCTGAAAGCAAATAATTCCCACTAGGTCACTGTGTCGATTCTGGACATTCGACGAGGAAACACCTCGCCTATTATTCATACCTAAGTGCAATAAATGAGGGGAGTTCACTGACCCGATAATGAAAACTGCTGTTCTACCGAACGTGTTTCCTCGTTTCCCAGTGACAATTATCTGCTTTCAGCATAGTAGGTTAATTTAGGAACGTTTATTAATTATTCCATTTCAATCATCTTCATTTGTTGTTTAGAATGCTTAGAATTTCATTTTTTACATTATGATAGGCGACAAGAGATTAGGTTCCGTATTTATTTTAAACAACGACTAAAAATGTTCTACCAGTTCAGTTTTTTTATTGTGCTATGCCAACGGGGTGTCGAGCCGTTCGTTCGCGACCTACGTCAGGCCCGGTTTTCATAGCCGACATTGCAGTCCCTGAGCCCGCGCGCTGTACGCGCTGGTGTTTTTTGTTAATAACTCGAAAACGAACCAACATTTTGGCAAAGGAAAATGTTGTTTAGAATCGCCTTAGCAATCATCCCTCTTTGGCTGTCGAGATAGTCGCGTGACACCCTGTATATCCGCGATGATCCCACTCGCAAAAATTTATGAAATTTGTTGTTTATTAACCATTTAAGTTCGGTGAATATTTTTTTGGTTTATGGTTATTAGCTAAGCAACAGAAATCCAAAATCACCTTACAGTATCCTACAAATACTACAGGTTCCACTAAAAAGTGTGAAATAAAATAATTTTTAACAAAAAACAAATCCGACTTCGAAATGCACTAAAAAGTGTCAAATAATTTCTATTTCATTTATACCAATATTCCAGAGCTATTAATAACATCTTCTTAATCGTTAAATAGGATACCAAATACATTTCAAAGTTTTCGGAGGCGGCGCAAAATTAAAAACTTTTCTTCTTCGTTGACACTGTGTAGCCAAACTAAGGGTCTATGGTCAGCGAACAACGTAAATTATCGACCATAAAGGTAGGGTCGAAAATATTCCATTCCAAACAAAACTGCTAACAATTCCTTCTCGATTTCAAAGGATTTCCTTGATTTTCAGAAATTGAAGGAAACTGGTGGTCACGATTCGAATTTATGAAGCGACGATCCCGGCGCACCTGACAATCCGCAGAAATATGCCCGGCCTTTCCACAGGTAACACATTTGCGGTCGCGCGTTTTCGCGATTAGAACTCTAGAATTCGTATCAGAAACGTTGGTGTTCTGTGAATTCCGCGATGAATTCACCTGAGTTTCAATTTTTGACGCTAATTTAATCGCTGCTCTTAAATCTTTAACATCATCGTTAGACAGAATATTCGCGACAACATCGTTTCCCAGTCCCCCTAAAAATCCTGCCACCGCGCTCGTCATAAGTAATTTTTTAATGCCCCCAAATTCCTCTGAACTCAAATCTTCTTTCGCCCCCTGTACCCCACGATCTAAAATATCGTTTACTCGGAACCCGTATTCCTCGATCGATTCGCTTTCACGACGGCGTACGGTCTTCAACTCATTTTGAGTATCATTTAGATTAAAACTTTGGGCGAACGTGGATTTAATCAGGGCTATCAACTCCTCCACAGTTTCCAGTTCGTCATCACCCATTATACCCCTGTAAACCCGGTATTGCATTCGATTCCGAATTATAGCGAGCAAAAGTGTTTTGTCCTCGGTTTTTGCTAAGGTGTCGGCAAGCCTACATTGGGCAATAAAATGGTTTACCTGGGACGGCTTTCCATCAAAATGAGGAATAAAACTTTTTACTACATCGTATTGGGTGCCCGTAAAGGTTTTTGAAAGTTTAGGCGATGACGTGACCGCGTCCCTAGTCATACTGTCCTTGGAAGGTTGTAATGACTCTAAATTTAAGGTATTTGTCTGATGTTCATTCGCATCTGAAGAGGAATTCAAAACATTAGAAGGTAATGGCCTAGGTGGAATCATTAGCGTGTTATTTGCCGTGCTACTAGAAGGAACAGATACACCGCCCGGCTCACCCCAACTCTGCATCGTGGACTGGGCAGGTACTCTTGTAATCGGGGTTCAAATCTTCCAATTGAGGAAGAAGACTCTCTACTAGGAGATTCTATCGAACTTTCCTCCACAAATATGACGCTATCACCACGCAGACTATTTTTGCGACCCTTCCTCCTTCTGGCCCTTACTAGTTTCGTTGAAAACGGCGGCATCTTATCGAGTTAGGACTAACGGTTACAACTAATATTCTATAGTCTATATAGTATATTCTTATATTCTAGACTTACAGTTTTGTAGCACGACAAATTAATAATCCGCAAGAAGTCACTTAACGTTTTTCGTTTAACTTGTTGCTTCTTCCACAGGTGTATGGCTTTGTCTGTCGATGACCCGTTGATCCGGATGACTTCGGCTTACGGGAAGAACCCTCAGTACTCCTGCTCGATGGTCCCCAAATTCAACAACAGGTACTCCAGCTCAATGGTCCCCAATTCGGCAGCAGGTACTCCAGTAAAATTTGTCCGCAATCAGCTGCGTCAGGTAGGCCTCAGCTCCGTGAACAGTCCGCTCAGGTCTCGTGATTTTATTTTATCCTCTCCTTTGCTCCAGGAATGATGCAACGATGACGTGGACGAGGTGCGCGTGATTTCGGTGGATGGCTTGCACGGCAGCCGAAATCACCTGTCTCCGGTATTTACCCTTCGCTCTTGGGGAAACCGTGCCAAAACCCAAGAGGGAGAAGTTGCACTAAACTTTGTCCACTTATTAAATATATAACAGTTCAATAAAATAGTTTGTAGAATGTTTAATTGACCGTTTAATACACACCCGCAAGTTGATAAAGTAATTTAAGTGTACATAAGTTTGTCACAATCACTTTATTTAACTATTCAGTTATTTCACTGTTTTAAATTGTTTTTCACAGAATTATCACCTTTTAAACTGTCACCTTTTAAATGTTTGTCCCCACTTTGAACTATTCCCTTTTAAATTATCCCACCGCTGTCACCAAATATGTAGCGTGTCCGTCGCGGTAGATAGGGATATTTAGGATTAGGAGCAGGTGTAACAACCTGTGGAGCGCGGATGCGCTTCGCTCACAAGGCGCGGATGTGCAAATTAATGAACTATTAATGATTCAGTTTATCTGGTCTTTAATATTTTGAAGTTCAACTTTAACAGATCTTATGAGCTTTAAAAAACTGCTGTGCGAGAACTATCAAGCGACAAAATCATTCTGCCGGTTCTGCGCTTGGCGGAGGAGATCTTCGCGCGTTGTCGGTCGATGCCCCTTCCTTGGTGGATCCTGGATCCTCCCTCAGGATCATCCCTCGTCCAATGGTGGAGGAGTCCACCCCGTCTCGTGTGGGCCCCTTCTCCTGGCTGTGGTCCACCCTCAAGCGCGTGGAAGTGGAGGCGCTCCGCCAAGACGCTAGAATGTTGCAGCGCACATGTGCTACGAGAAAGCGTGGGACCCAGAGAAATTAGGAAACAACAGGACCTTGTACTTGCCAAAGCAACTCTTGAGGAAATTTACGACCCTCTTAGAGTGCATGAAAAGACAGGATATCGAAAAAGACTTCGTAACCCTTAAGGACCGTTCGTGACTTGGTCGAAAACAACGAATTGGCTATGGTCTATCATAAATTAGTTTTTTAGGAATTTTCAAAGTGAAACTATTCCATTCTCTGGACTTCCGGCCTTCTCTCAGCTCTATCACCCACGTCGAGGGGTTTACAATTTACTCTTTGTCTATTTATATAAGGGTACGCATAGACGATGTTCGAATTTCGCTCTTAATTTATGACCATCGATACAAAGGTCCTCGAAGAACATTCAAGACATATCGATACAATAGACTATCGATAAATATTCCCATGGCAGTGTCGCCACACCACTCTAAACATATTCACGTGATAACGTTTCACGTTACAGCAGTATACATGTATAACAGAAGTGCTACCAACTGCTGATACAATCGTTACAAATACTAATGTTTTCTGCCGTATCTATAACGTTTCGAATTTTTTTCTTACGACTTATTAATTACCAGGTTTGCCATACCGCAGTTTTTTGTTAAAAATTATTTTATTAACACTTACCTTTTCCTGTGCCGTGGCTTTTTTTGATTTTTGCTTTTTCGCGCCTAAGTGCTGACAGCAATGCATTCATTTTTTTCTTGCACACATCTCTTGTGGTGCTTAGCTCTTGTGCTTTTTTATCCCACGCATCACGTTTTTTAATTTTATGATAATACTTGGGATGCTGAGGATCCCACAATATTTCATGTTTTCGATAATTTTCGATTAATTGCAGCACATTCTCTTCGGTCCACTCCATTCTTCACAGATTACAATACTGACTAAATGCGATGTTTTTCTGTATGGACGCATGCAGGTTCGTATTCACGTCCAAACTTGCATAGATGGGGTGTATCGTGAATGCGTAACATTTCTTTAATGTGACGGCGAAAAACCGACAACTGATGGGACGTTGCGATGTTACGATGTTACGCTGTTACGGTGAGGCGTCCACACTTGATACACGACGGAGTTACGTTACTGTGTTCTGTTGCATGTCTGTACCCACCGGTCAAATTTAGCCAAGTATCACTGTACTTTGTTTCTTTATGCCAACGAACGACACTGTCCTGTTGCCGTAAACACGGATGCACATATGTTATCCAATGCACGGTAGCACTTCGTTCGCGAACATCCATCAGAACACTTCTGTAGCGATTGGTTTCTTTTGCCATTTTTCATAGCTTTGTACAGTCACTCTCATTGTCAGTGAAAATCATCCACCCGCAACGGGGCGTATATTAGTCTAAATAAAATAATAAATACAAATAAAATACAATGATTGCGCATATTAAATTATTCTACATAAATAACTACATAATATACTTGAAAAGCAAAAGATTCTGTTGAATAATAATCGAGATATAACATTGTAAATAGAAACATGTCCGAAATGAACCTCGCAGTGAAGATCGTCCACCTACAATAACGTTTGATAAATTGCAATAGTTAATTGATTTTGTAATTTTTAATGCGTGATTCTTATAGATTTTTTTTATGCTGAATCCGAATTTCTAAACCATTTTCATCTAACTTTTATAGTTTTCGAGATAATCAATGTTAAACAGAAATTGCAATTATTCAACTTTGGAATTGATTTATGCTTTCACAATAGTAGATATTCAGGTTCTTTTTTCACGTAATAATTCTGTGGAATGTACCGAATAAAATGAGATAAATTTTTATTACATTATAGACATATAAATATGTTTAAATATTAATGGAAGTGGAAGAGACGCCTAAATCGCACGAACGTCGACTGATATTTTTTATTTTATTTCAAAAACTAACAGTCTAGGAGAAAATCTAATTATATCACACGATAGAGAAACATTTTTGCTAAGTATAGCATTAAAGCAATATGTAAAAACTAGGTTTCTACTTTAAAATTTAAGCCTGATAACTTGGCATAGAAGGAAGGAACATACTCGCAAAACGTACACGTCAATCAGGTCGACCGTAAGCGTTGAGAACTACTGCTGTTGTGGCGGCGCCTACTTCCGGTAAGCCGTCCTGTCGGAAAATGCAATTCCGGCTACCGCAGCGCCCTCTTTAATTGTAGAAAGCGGGAAAATGCGTTTCCCCTCCCACGCCAAGCGTTGGCGTGGGTCACTCTTGCCCTCGCACTCATGGAGTATAGAAGTCACGTTTTCCAAAGATTGGGTTGTGAAACTTTTCTAAGTAAAAAAACTCCTGTGAATAATAACCAAAAGTTTAATCTTGGAACTGACTGATTTTAAACAAAAGGCTAGTATTTAGTTTTGTGAACAATCAACCTGCGTAAAAAACTTTATTTTTCTATAAGACCAAGTATCCTCTGTTGGTACAGTAGAAGCCATAATTTACCGCATTTCTGCGAACGCGCCTACACTGTTGTGGCGGCCCTGCCCACGCCTGCCAACATCCGCGAGCAGCGCTCCTAGGCGGAGGTCGTTCGGGCGACAGCCGCGAGCGGCGCGGCGAGCGGCTGACGCCACACGCAAAAATAGAGCGAGTCAGCCATCTTCTACACAACGGGGACTTCCCTCCAAGAAGCGTGGCGTCTGAAAGAATCCGTTGTACAAAAGCATCGCCTTACGTGTGGGCTCCTGTAAACGGGCTAGAGAAATAAAGAACGTTTCATTGATCGGTAGTCGCGTGGTGTTTCCCTGTAAAACCGTAGTGATTAGATCCGCTACATAATGGTGACCCCGATGTGATCTCCACGCGACGCGTGTTTCATTCGAAGTGCTTCCGCCGCGCGGGTGCGCGATTCGAGACTTTTTTAGCGTCCGCCCGGGGGAACTCGGTTCTGACCCCTGTAAACACTCGTGAGTGTCCGGGTTAGCCGATTGCAAGGTTGTGACGATTCCGCCGAGGGTCGAACTCGCGGGATAATGTCGGTGCCACGCTCCCCGTCGGCAACGCGCCGTTACGACCAAGATACCAGTAGGACCGCCGGTGAACCACCTGCTGGACCGGTAGCCGATCCCGTGTCAGAACAGGCCCAGGACGGGCCGATTTTGGAATTTCCCGCGACCGTGCAGGCGGCTGGTCTTTCTATAAGACCAAGTATCCTCTGTTGGTACAGTAGAAGCCATAATTTACCGCATTTCTGCGAAGGCCCCTACAATTTGTGACCCCGACGTGATCTCGATAGTTTTATCAGTTACTTCGTAAAAAAAAGGTGTTATCAAAAAGGACGCTAAATTATACAAAATGGCGGTCGCACGCTCCCCGACGCGGCTCGACAGAGACGCCATGACAGCAGGAGAGCCTGAAGAAGCCTTTCTTCCATCGATGTCGGCAGGGACGGATGCAACCGTATATTCTGCATCCCTTAAGAAATTACCTCCTTTTTGGAAAGAAAACCCCGTATTGTGGTTCGCTCAGGTGGAGGCAGCCTTCGATTTGGCAAGGATTACCAGCAACGAAACAA